AATCCTTTTGTAAATCAGCAGCATCCTCTTCACAGCTAGCAACACCCAAGACCTGATTTGTTTTTGCTAATAATTTTTTTTTTTTGGTTAAGGCAGAAAATAAAAAAAAAAATTTAGTTTATTCTCTTAATAAACATTAATGTGCAGTTTGTTGAAGTTTTACTCTGTACTGATTATCAGCTTATATAGGATAAAATGTGGATTTAAATGTGCAATTTTTGTTTTTCAAAATGATTGTTCCCTGATGTATAATGAGATCATATAAGCTGCTAAAATTTAGATTTTAAGTTTAGTTTTAATAGATTCTTATACATTGACAAAGTGTAGAAACTTAAATACACTTCACTAGTCTATAAAATGATGTAAAGGCTTGTTTTTTTCTTGGTACCTTGATTTTCAAGATATAAAGACTCCATTGGTCTGTTTGTCATTCTGTTGTATGTATAAAAAAAAACATTGACTAATAAGTCTGCTTTTGGCTAGTAAATGATGACTGAAAAACAGCAAGTTAGGTGATACACAACAAGATAGTATAGTAAAGTTTTAAAGAAGCCTATTTTTTGTTTCTTTTAGTGTATAATGATTAATTATCCATGATTGCAAGGAATGACTTGTTAATAAGCTAATAAACTACAGTCTTATATAGATATTTGTTTATAATGTAATAAAGAATAACTGACCAATGATAACTACTGGGGATGGCTTATTAACAGGCTGCTGAATGAAATTTTTGAATGATGTACAGTTTTTGTTTGTTATGGAAAATAAAACTTCACAATATGATAATTTTCCACTAAGTTTACTTGTCTGGCTAAGAACAGTAACAGGTAAGAAAGATAATAATTTTAGATAAATTTATGACCAAAGCAAGCTCATTATGCAATTCAAATCATAGTAAAAATCTGCTTAAGCCTGATTTATGTGTAGCAGAAGATATAATTCTAAATCAGTTATTAAGTTTAATGTAGAGGATTAGTCAAGAAAGCTGCAATTAAGGTTAAATATTTATATAAAATTCACTGTATAAATCCTGCATTTAATTCAATTCCATCACTAAGTTTCGACAGTATTTTTTAAAAATATAAGTGATGTCCCATGAGATCTGGTCAACAAATGAAGGAGTTATATTACACCTAAACTTATATGCAGTATAGTTTTTTATTTATGATTACTGATCTTTAACAAGCCGTTAAATCAAAGTTTTGTGTGGGGTATACTTTTTGTGGTTATAAACAAGTGACAGATAAATATAGCAGAATGCAACTTGATTAGACCTAACTTATAATTAATAATTTTATTTCTCATGGCATATATATATATATTTGCACAAAATATAGTTTTTATTCCATTTTATCTTATAATTTAATCAAACTTCATTTCAAGACTTAGTACTGTTATGAAATATCATTGGTAAACTGATATACCTATTTATATTAAAGTAGGTTGTGAATTAAGTTAAAAAAATGTTTCTTTGAATAGATTTTATATGATCATATCTTTGTAATGTACAGTAACAAATGTAGCTTTATATCTAGAGTGGATAAACTGTGATGAACTAATGACGTCAATAAAAGATGGTGTAATAAACACACAAATATATACATACACTAATTAATATATAAACATGTTATTTAGATATTCCGTACAAGCAAACTTTTGGGATATTCAAGGAAAATGTGTAATTTTTGTCTTTTTCACGTGTAATAACAATAACAGATAAATACAAATAATTTAAGAAACACAAGATGGGATAACAAGTATGTTTACAAATGTAAGAAACAGAAGATTTGACATAACACATATGTGCACTAATGGGAGTAATAGAAGATATCAAAATGTGTATAATAATGTGAGCAACAGAAGATACGACATAACACATATGAGAACTAATGTGAACAAAAAAAAAGATATGTGTAGTAATGAGAGTAATAGAAGACATATTAAAAATGTGAACAATAGAAGATATGACATAACCAGTAAGTGTACTAATGTGAACAATAGAATATATGGTACAAGAAATATGTGTACTAATGTGAACAATAGAAGATATGACATAACCAGTAAGTGTACTAATGTGAACAATAGAATATATGGTACAAGAAATATGTGTACTAATGTGAATAATAGAATATATGGTACAAGAAATATGTGTACTAATGCGAACAGTAGAAGATATGACATAACCAGTAAGTGTACTAATGTGAACAATAGAATATATGGTACAAGAAATATGTGTACTAATGTGAACAATAGAAGATATGACATAACCAGTAAGGGTACTAATGTGAACAATAGAAGATATGACATAACCAGTAAGTGTACTAATGTGAACAATAGAAGATATGACATAACCAGTAAGTGTACTAATGTGAACAAT